GATCTCTTCACATTTATATTCTTGAGATTTGCAAACTTTTAGGTAAGGAGAAAGCCTTGTCTTTTATCAAATTTGAACCTGTGGGCTTATTGTTAAATTATGCTTTATTCCCTTTTGTACATCTTAATTGCCCTTCTGTAACTCAAATTATACTTATGTTGTGACACTTAGTGGTGTGTAAGATGGTCTTGGGCTTCATAAAATTTTCCATCTTTCTTTTCTCTTCTCTCCTCCTCGTAGAGAATTGCAATTGATTAATCTTCAAATTCACCGACTCATTCTTCTCCCTCTCAAATCCCATCAAGTAGATCACCTTAAAATTTCTCATAATTTTTATTTAAAAATGATGTCTCATTCAACGGCAAATTACTTCAAATAAGTGTTAGGTAATAATTCACAAAGATATTAAATTGGAAATAACTTAGAGAGTCCATGTCTGGTTATATTTGAGTAATAACTACATATACCAACTTATACACTTAAATGAAATGGTTCTAAATGTCTTATGTAGAAAATAGCTTGATCAAAAACGAGCATTGGAGTTGTTCAGATATTAGTGAAAAGAAGACACACAAAGACTAACTGATCTATAAAAAGTGTTCAGCCTCATTAACTACCAGGAAATGCATCTCAAAGCAACATTCAGACATCTCCTCACTCCAGTAAGACTGGCTTTGTCTCATATACTAAAGTTAAAGAGGGCTGGCAAGGATGCAGAGAAAAAGGAAGCCCTGTACACTACTGGTGGAAATGGTAATTAGCACAGCACTGTGGGAATCTATGGATATTCTTCCAAAATGAAGACCAGAACTACAACATGATCCGGCCGTCCCACTACTCATGCAAATGCACAGGACGTGAACCCAGCATGCCAGTGAGCTCCACATCCCTCACCCTAAGACATGGAAACAAGCTCGGAGCCTGTCAACGGATGAGTGCACTAAAGAAATCGTGGAAACTGTGCAGCATGGAGCACTATCTAACCACAAAAAAGAAGAAATCATGTCATTCGGTATGGATGTTCCTGAAAGTCACTATGCATATAAATAAAATTAAATAAACAAGCCAGCTTATGTTAAGTACATAAGCTGGCCAGTACTGAATGCTCTCACTCATCTGTGGAATCTAAGAAGTTGATGTTATGAAACAAGGGAGTTGGACAGTGGTTACCAGGGATGAGAGTGCAGGGAAGGCGGGACGGGGGAAATGTCGAGCAGCTGTTAGTTGCTGTGAGACTGGAGCGGGTAGCTCTGGAAGGCTGTGCACAGCGGGAGAACTGTAGCTACCACCTTGTGAGCGCCATACAGAGGTCGAACGGGCAGAATGTAAGCACACGCTCAGAGCAGAGAGAGATGTGAGTTACAGTGCGGATCTGGGGGCATGTATGTGTTTAGGGAGGGCACATATGTGTAAATTTGTGAATCTACAATGAAAGGAGGTGTGGTTCACAGGAGGAAAATCAATGGCACACCCAAGGCAGAAAACTGATAGGTCAGTTCTCAGGTTGAAGGGTTCCCTGTTACATAGTAACACGGCTAAGGCCCCATCTATTTTATTTTTAAATGGATTATATAGACAACCATTATTTACTGTATACTTCCAAAATAAGATAAGATGATTTTGAAAGACTTCACTGTAAAGAAATGGAAAATATTTTCAGAAGCAGACTTTTCTAAATTGATTTAAACTTTGCAGGGAATATACATGCATAGACACATCTCAGAGAACCTCATTCATATGTAAAATGTTTATTTTGCATTTCCATCTGTCAGTTAGAATCTATTTGGCTTTCAAAATACAATAACTATGTTGGTCCCATTGGGCAGTTTAATTATTTCTTCCCTAAGAGAGTGAGATGAGACGCTGTAGCTATTCTCGGGGGAATTCCCCAGACAGCACGAGATTTTTGTAATTGTCTCCACATTTTGTTGTCTAGGATCCCACTAGAACACAAAATGCACCCTTTTAGAAGGAACACATTATATTTCATGAGCCATTAGGCATCGTTTGTCCATCTGAAAAAGAGTCATTGTCGCACATGCAGGCCTTCTTTGGTCCTGAGGATTTATAATCCTAGTGTTTTCGATTAGAGAAAACACTCAAAGATAAAAATGATAGTGATGGACTTTTACATAATAAATCCCTTGCTAAAAAAGTCTTGCTTTATTTAGACACATTTCTGTGAATTATGAGAGAGAAGGAATCTTACCATATTTATTTTCTATATAAGGAAAAAACAATGATTCTTTCAATTGCACAGAAAGCATCCATGGTAGATTGGAACTTAACTGACATTAATGTCTCAATTTTTCCCTCCCCGCCTTAGGGAAGGGGGGATGTTTTGATCATCACCTGAGAGAGACGAGGCAGGCCTTGATGGAAGTTTATGTGATTTTTTAACTGCAATTCTGGATTGACTCTTCTTCTCTTCTAGCAAACTGGTAAGCTTCTAAATTTCACAAACATTTTTGTTAGAAATGTAATTTATGCAAAGCTAGGGACCTAACTGTAGTTATTATGAGTTGTTTAAAGCTAGATATGTCCTCAAAAACATTTAAGTGGTGAGGTGAGACTGTGGTATGAATATGAAGATATCTATCATAGGGATTTCTGCGATTCATGACAAAACTTACCTCTTAACCTCCCCAAAATGAAAAAAAATTAAGAAAGGTGATGCTTTGAATAATTAATGACATCTTTTTCACTATATATTTACAAACACAAACATAACACCAAAATAGTACTGTGATTCTTCTCTAAAATACAGAATGGTAGAGGTGACTTAACATCCCTACTTTTTATTCCTGGAAGAAGGCTTTCATTTTTGGAGGTTAGGATTTTCCCAGAAGATTTCTGTAAACAGCATAACACGACTTTCCAATTCTTTAGTTCCTTTGTGGGTAAAGTATGAACATTACACATACACATGCCATTACTATATAACTTGCTTACCCTTAGCTGCATAACACAGTATATGTTAAAATAATTGTGCACTGACATTATTAATCTTGTCTCTTGCTTATGACATATAATGTGTGCATTCCTTGAGGTTATTATGAAAATGAGGAACAGGAATTTAGAGCAGGAGGGAAGGAGGTAAAAGGGAAGAGGATGGAAGTTAAAAAAAAGCTGTATCAGGTACTACCTGTGCCCACTCCCTAAGATGATTGTAAACTGCACGCACTGTGAACGTGTACTAACAAAAGCTTTTAAAAATAATTTTAGACTAAAACAATAACCAGGTGTATTCAGATTGGTGCATATGGTACGGATTTGGTTCTCAAAGTTGCTAAAGTTTTAGGAAAAAAAGTAGTAGGAAATAACAGTTATTTATGGATATATATAATCCCAAAGGCTATAGTTGAAAAAAGAAAATGTAAATACTGCTACTACACAAGATCAGATTCAAACAAAATATTACAAAATATTTAAAATCTGCCACTTGCTATCAAATCATATCTGTGAGATAAAGGAATCCCATAGAGCAGAAGGTTTCAACTCTGAATCTCTGTGATTTTGCTATGTAATAATAATGGTGAGTGAAAGATGAGTTTAAGGAAAAAGAGGTCTTTTTTTCATGACTAAAGTATGGATTCCAAGAAAGCAATGTTGAAAAACAAGGTGCCACATGAAATTGCCACGATTATGTACTTGGAGCAAAGGGAGACTGAGAAAATCTGGCGAGCACAGAAGCTCTTACGGTCCTACTGTGGGAGACCAGCAATGCAGAGGAGAGAAACTTCCCAGAATTCAATTCACCTGCAGCTGGAAACCTGCTTGTCAGCACCTACCTCGACCAAATCAGTATGAAAACCTTTCCTCCTGAAAACAAGATTATCTCCAGCCCTTACCATGATGTGCTTAATACCCAACTTTTTAAAATTTTGTTTATTGTCCTACATAATTTTCACGCTAATGCATAAAGGTTGATCTCACTACTATGTTCATTTTGCAGATGAAAATATAATGTTCACTGGAGTTGATGTAGGATGAACAATTGCTAGTTGGTAAATGTCAGGCCTTATATGTGCCCTTCCAAGAGCTCTCTAGCCCACTACATCTGTTTCTATGCCGTCCTTCAGAACTAATCAGCAGTAGGCATGCTCCCATCCCCCTCACCTCACCACATGTTTGTTGATAGGTATACAGATTGTTGATAAGTATGAGAAATGGGAAAATTTTTCCAGCCTGACTCAGAGCTTCTTAATTCTTTAAAGTGGCTTTTGTTAGGGTTAGGGTTAGGGTTATGAAGTGATCATTTTCACTGATTTTTCTTTCTTAGTTTTACCTCCAATGAGAGGCAGATGTACACTTAAGAAGATTAAATTACTACATAATCAAGCAGGCGCTTAGTTCACTATGAAGCCTCAAACAGTGAATTTAAAAGAAATAGGCAAGGAGTAAATATTCCTTCAGTTAAAGTCTGTTTGAGTGCAGCTCACTTGCTACACTTAGACTTAGGCTAAATTTCTACCCAGGTACAGAGTAGAGATTGGTCTTTAACACCTGTGAAAATAAGAGTGCACAAACCAATCCCTGGTGACCCACAATTTTACACGAATGTGACCGACAAGCAAACTCACAATACTGCTGACAGGAGACAGGAATACACATCCATCCTGTGGGTGGCAGTTCTCCCTGGGTAAGCAACACGGAAGTCAGTTTTTATTATATCCCAAAGAGGTGCCTGGTCTGATAGATACTTCTGTACATTATCTTCAAGTAAAAAAATTCTGTACATCTCAGTTTATACATTTATATGTTTACGAGTGATCTACAGGACCCATTAAAATTCTTCTGATTAGACAGTGTGTAATTCTACTTGATAATCATGGAAATCAATCTAGTATACAAGAATAAGGAGGTTTGGGAACTATTCAAGTAAAGGTTATTGTCACAGTGACAGAAAAGTTATTGTACTTCTGTTTTCCAGTTTTAATTCAATTTCTCTATTCTTCTATTATCCCTTCTCATTGCTATTAGTGAATCTAGGGGTAACAGTGATGGCAAACGGTACAAAAGTGACGGAATTCCTCCTGCTGGGGCTGACCGATGACCCACGCCTGCAGCTTCCCCTCCTCATGACCTTCCTCCTCATCTACACCATCACTGTGCTTGGGAACCTGGGGATGATCCTGCTGATCCTGCTGGACGCTCGTCTGCACACCCCCATGTACTTCTTCCTCGGTAACCTGTCTCTGGTGGATTTCTGTTCCTCCACAGCTGTCACTCCCACAGTCATGGCTGGGCTCTTCACAGGAAACAAGCTCATTTCCTACAATGCCTGTGCTGCTCAGATGTTCTTGTTTGCAGCTCTCATTGGTGTGGAAAATTATCTGTTGACTTCAATGGCCTATGACCGCTATGCCGCAGTGTGCAAACCCCTGCACTACACCACCACCATGAGGCCCAGTGTGTGTGCGGGTCTTGTCCTAGGCTCCTATGTTGGTGGTTTATTCAATGCGTGCATCCACACTGGGGAAACATTCAGTCTCTCCTTTTGTAACTCTAATGTAGTCCACCATTTTTTCTGTGATATTCCAGCTGTCATGGCTCTCTCTTGTTCTGATAAACATCTTAATGAACAGGTGCTTTTTTATGCTGTCAGTGTCCCTGTTTTCTTTGCTCTCCTAGTTATCTGGATATCTTACTTCTTCATTTTTGTCTCCATCTTGAAGATGCGCTCAGGGGCAGGACATCGGAAGGCTCTGTCCACCTGTTCCTCCCATCTCACTGCCGTCTCCATCTTCTACGGGACCGCCATCTTCATGTACCTGCAGCCCAGCTCCAGTCACTCCATGGACACAGACAAAATCGCCTCTGTGTTCTACACCATGGCCATCCCCATGCTGAACCCCGTGGTCTACAGCCTGAGGAACAAGGAGGTCAAGAGTGCATTCTTAAAGGTCAAACGTACATTCACTTGTTGGAGACAAAATAATGTGTAGGTTTGAAATTTTACCTTTGTGAGATGCACACTTATTGGATTCATTGTTTTCAGTTATTCTCCAAGAACTCAGTTACATTTTAATGCCCACGCTGAAATTAAGTTCTTGAAGTGATCCTCTCATCTGTGCAAACTCTTCTCACACAAAAATAATACTTGTCCAGAAATAAATACCTGAGTGGCAATGGTTGAGATATCTTGGGTTTGCTTATCAAAGCAGACTCTCTGGATATTGATGTTTGCACTCATTATATAAATTTTTTCTTTTACTACCAGATGTCAGTGCAAATAAGTGTAAACCAGTTACAAATAACCTATACATAGGAGAAAGGCAACAGTTTTCTCAGGATAACAAATATAAATGTATGTGGTCCCTCTTCCAAATGCACATATGATTGCTACCCATAGTAGTCAATTTTACTGTATTAATTTGGCTACATTAAGGGACATCCAGGTAGGCCTTAAAAAATATCTGTGTGTGTGTGTGTGTGTGTGTGTGTGTGTGTGTGTGTGTCTTAAAAAGTATTTCCAGAAAAGTGTAATGTTTGAAGTAGTAGACTTAGAACTGTCCTCCTTCTAGGGGATACAAAAAGAAACAGAGAGAGGGGAAAATCTCTCTCCCTTTCTTTCTGTTGTTTAGTGAGGACGTCCACCTTGTCTCCCTCTGAGCAGTCAAAATTCATGACCTGGCCCTGCCCTTGTCCCTTCATTCTCCAGCACTTACAACAGCAGCACCCCTCGTTCCCAGTTTCTGCCTCTTGACATAGACTGCATTACCTGCCTGCCACCCTTACTCTTTTTTTATTTTAAAAATTAAGAAACTGACAAAACAACAATGAAGACAAAATCAAAACAACACAAAAACAACAAAAATGATGCATGACTTCAAGACAAAATGATACAAATTTACAATGGTTGCCAAATTACATACTGTTATCTTCAACAAAGTTGCTCAGTCCATTAGACATAAGAATGTAAGATTGATCAAACAAAGACAGTAACAAGTAAAAAACAATAAAAATAATTAAAAAAAAACATTGGAAATGATACAGAGCTTCACCATACAAAGTGGTAGGAGTTCAACAAAGGTTCTTATACTGCATACTGTTTTCAGACACGATCATTCCATTCTGCACAGGGAACTGCTATATGTACATAACACATCTCAATGATTCCATTTCTCTTACAATTGCTACTGTACATAACAAATCTTAATTCTGTTTTCATCCTTTTCCTCTCCCTTACTCCTCTTTCTACCTCTTGGTCCCTTTCCTTTTGGCAAACCTATCTTTCTATTTTGTGTTATCCATCGTACAATCATTATGAAAATTAATAAGGAGATCCCTCAAAAAACAAAACTAGAAATTCCATTTGACCCAGCTATTCCCCTTCTAGATATCTTCTCAGAAAAGTTAGAGACATCACTTTACAGTGATCCATGCATACCCATGTTTACAGCTTTACGGCAGCACATTTGATAAATGGTAAATCTTGGAGGCAGCTAATGTGTCCATGGATAGATAAAGAAAATGTGATATTTAAATACAATAGAGTACTTCTTTGCTATAAAGAAGAATATAACTGTCATTTGTAGGACAATGGATGCACATTGAGATCACAATGTTAGCTGAAATAAATCAGACATGCAAGTTAAATACTGCAACTTTTTTTCTTATGAGAACCCAAAGCATAAATAAAAAGCACCTTATTATTTTTAAGCAAAAATTACCTTGATTTTTTAACAACTTAAAAAATATAAAGTCGATTCTATCAGCTAATCACCAAATCTATGTTTAATAAAGCTTTGTTTGGTTTTAAGAAAGGTACATCAAATATTATATTTTAGAAAAACTATTTTGTGTAGTCAGCTATGCTTATGCCTTATTCTTAGGATTGCAGTCAGCCCATTCAGGGACTTAGTTTCCACATCACAAGATCCAAAAATCATAACAAATCTCCTCCTCCCTGTGTACCTGTACCTCACTTGTTTTCTTTCATTGTAGAAACCTGAAAAAGAACCACTGGTATTTCATAATCACAACTTAAGATTTTGAGTAATAACATAATTTTGCTAAAATTTCTTTATTTTTGTACTGCTTTCCTGACTACCCTAGTTTGAGATAATATATTAGTATTAAAAAGTGAAATATGAGCTCCTTCTCTGCATGTGGCACTAAGGTGATAAGTCTGGTTTCTCATATGAATTAATATTCCCATTAGACTACATTATTTTATACCACCAAAATGTTCAGATTCTGATTTTCAAAAGGATAAAATGGTCAGAACAAGAAAATGTAGGAAATAGCCATATTATTAATATATTCATCTATTACTGTACATATTTACATAATTTAAAATTAAACCAAAAATAAATAATGCTGTACATTTGCTTTCTGCAAGTCCTTCGGATTGTTCGTGCTTACCGTTCACTTCCACTGGAGGTGAGTTCCGTTCTTGCCCTCGCTGGCTTTCCCCTTGTGCTTTCATGCGGGTTAGGCCCCCTTCTTCCTGTGGATCACCACGCCATCTGTGGTTTCCTGCGTGGATGTTCCCACCCCAGTCCCTGCCTCTGTGCGGCCCTGTCTTGGGTCCTCCTGACAGCTTCATCCGCGGTCAATGTCCTCTCGCCATGCGCGCAATCCCGACTCCTAACTCGCTCTCGTGGTTACTGCCCCTCAGCTGCTCTACACAGTCGTTTGTCTCCTACTCACCTTCTCCACCTGTGATGTGAACTCCACAAGAGGACTGGACTCCTCAGTTTTCTAACATGATGATCAGTGGCCGAATGCATGTCCGTTGTACTGTAGATTCTCAATAAATGCTTGCTAGAAGAGGAAAATCATTGAACTTCCGTATTATTCATACCATATGTCAAGTCCTCGAGTCATTGGTTATGATGGTGAACCCTGCATAGTAAAAACATTCCACGAACATTCTGTGCCTTTTATGAGACACTGCGAATGTTGCACTTTCGTGAATCATATCTTGCTATACTCTCACTTGTTTATCATACGCCTCACTTGTAGCCAAAATGGTTTCCTAAAATTTCTCATAATTTTTATTTAAAAATGATGTCTCTTTCAGTGACATATGACTTCACATAAGTACTATGTGGTAATTCATAAAGACATATTAAATGAATAAATCAGACATACATGTGCAAGCACCACATTGTGTCACTAGTGTAAAACCTGAAAGAGTTAATTTAAACTTGGAGGTATGATAGACACTGTGAAATGACAGGAAAACACTCAAGGGTAAAGGGCAGTTGGGATGTGGGAAACAAAAAGGGAAAGGAGGAGAAATTTTGTATGTATGTATATACAGGATAGTTAACATGGTTGTTCTACTGTCTTCTATTTCTTTGCTGAAAGAAACTGTTAATGAGTCCTTGATTGACCAATATTGCATGTCTCTATCTGTTTTCCTGAGAAACCACTCTGAACACATCAGTATGTAATACAACAAGCTTTGTTAATTTCCTACCACTTTGTTTGTAACTCTGTATTGTCTGTACTGTTCTTTTGCTATTTTGTAAAAGGTTGTCTGTTAATGTTTTCCTCCTTTTATTTTTAAAATAAAAAAGACATTAAATGGAATATCTAGTCCATTTTTATTTATACTTCAGCAATGATTACATATACCAAATTTTACACTTAAATGTCCATTAGAAAATAATTTAATTGATAATGAACAATGGAGCTACACAGGCATTAGTAAAAAGAGGACACAAAGAAACCAACTGACAATGAAAAGTGCTCAGCCTCGCTAACCACCAGGGAAATGCAAATCAAAGCAACATTCAGACATCTCCTCACTCCAGTCAGACTGGCTTTGTCTCATATACTAAAGTTAAACGGGGCTGGCAAGTATGTAGAGAAAAGGGAAGCCCCGTACACTGCTGGTGGAAATGGAAATTAACACAGCACTGTGGGAATCTATGGATATCCTTCCAAAATGAAGACCAGAACTGCAACATGATCCAGCCGTCCCACTACTCGTGCAAATGCACAGGACGTGAACCCAGCATGGCAGTGAGCTCCACGTCCCTCACCTTAAGAAATGGAAACAAGCTCGGAGCCTGTCAACGGATGAGTGCATTAAAGAAATCATGGGAACTGTACAGCATGGAGCAGTATCTAACCACAAAAGGAAGAAATCATGTCATTCGGTATGGATGTTCCTGAAAGTCACTATGCATATAAATAAAATTAAATAAACAAGCCAGCTTATGTTAAGTACATAAGCTGGCCAGTACTGAATGCTCTCACTCATCTGTGGAATCTAAGAAGGTGATGTTATGAAACAAGGGAGTTGGACAGTGGTTACCAGGGATGAGAGTGCAGGGAAGGCGGGACGGGGGAAATGTCGAGCAGCTGTTAGTTGCTGTGAGACTGGAGCGGGTGGCTCTGGAAGGCTGTGCACAGCGGGAGAACTGTAGCTACCACCTTGTGAGCGGCATACAGAGGTCGAACGGGCAGAATGTAAGCACACGCTCAGAGTAGAGAGTGTGAGCCTTTAAGAGAGAGAGAGGCAAGGTACAGTCTGGAACTGGGGACATGTACGCATTTTGGGAGGGCACGTATGTGTAAATTTCTGAATCTACAATGAAGATAGGTACGATTCACAGGAGGAAAACCAATGGCACACCCAACGCAGAAAGCCGATGGGTCAGTTCTCAGGTTGAAGGCTAGCCCATCATAGAGTAGAAAGGCCGGGGTCCAGCCCAGAGTATTTTTAAGTGGGATGTGTAGATGACAATCATTTATTGTATACTTCCAAGATAAGATCACAGGATTTTGAAACACTTCACTGTAAAGCAATGGAAAATATTTTCAGAAGCATACATTCCTAAACTGATTTAAAGTTTACAGGGAATATACATGCATAGACACATCTCAGGGTGACTCATTTATATATAAAATACTTGTTTTACATTTTCATTTGTCAGTTAAGGTACACTTAATTTTTAAAATATAATAAGTATTTTGTCCCTGTAGGCGGTTTAATCCCTTCTTCACTAAGAGAGATAGAATGTGTAATTATTCTCATGGGGGATTCTCCAAAGAGCTCATTTGTTTTGTCATGGTCTCCTTGAATGAGTTCTGTGATCCCACTTGAACACAAAATGACATCCATTTCAAAGGAACTTGCTATATTTCATGAATCTCTGGGCATTTTTAATGAATCTACATAAGAGTCATTTTCACTACACTCAGGCCGTCTGCTAACCTGAGGCTTTACTATGACTCAGCATCCCTGGTCAGGGACAGTACTCTAAGATAAAAAATATATCGATGAATTTTTAAATGATGAGTTCTTTGAAGAAAGATTTAGAACCTCTATCGTTATTTATAGATATGCTTCTGTAAGTTATATGAGAGAAGAAATTCTACTATGTTTATTTTACACATGAGAAGTTAAGTCTTATGCCAAAGGCACAGAAAGCATCCATGATAGATTGGAACTACATCCACGTTAATGTCCCTGTCTCATTTTTTCCCTTCTTACTTTAAAGAAGATAGAACATTCTGTCCACCATCTGAGAGAGAGGGTGCTTCTCTAAGAGCAGCTCCTCTTCCATGGAAGTTTGTAGGATTTCATAATTGCTATTCTGGATCAACTCTTCTGTCTTTTATAGAAAACTGGGAGGCTTTTATACTTCATAAATATTTTCATTAGAAAAGTAATTTATGGAAAGCAGTAACCTAATTATAGTTCTGGTGAGTTATTGAAAACAGCATATTTTTAAAAGACTCTAAGTGCTGAGAAGAATGGGGTCTAAATGTCAGAATATCTATCACAGAGATTTCAGTGATTCATGATAAAACACTTCATAACCCTAAAAAATGAAGACAGATGATGCTTTAGATGATTAGTGACATTGTCTTTTTCATTATAATTATTTCCAAACCAAACCAGATATAATCCCAGAATTTCAAATGCAAAAGGGTCTAAATGACTTAATATAATCTGAAATTGTTATTCCTGCAAGGTGGCTTTAGCTCTCAGGACTTGGGTGTTTCTCATTAGACTTCTATCATCTTGCAACATAACACACACTTCTCACATCTTTCATTTTCTCACACTTGCATGTCACACACACACATACATGCACACACATACCATTACTATGTAAATTGCTTATCCTTTGTAAAACATAGTTTATATTAAAATAATCATGTGTGTTCAGATTGGTAAACATAACTTCATGAGGCTGGTAGTGGTGATCATATACTCGGAGTAACCTGGACCAAGGAGCAGTGGGGAGTTGTGGAAACTCTCAGAGGACCTCATCTGGGAAAAAGGAAAATAGGAGAGGGGAACTTCAAAACTTCAAATTCACCTGCAGGGAGAACCCTATGTATCAGTGTCTACTAGGGTCAAACTTACAGAAAAACCATTACTCTTAATTAACACAGAGATAGCACTTACCAGGATATGGTCAATACCCCTCAAATTACTATGTTTTATTTATTGTCTTATTTAATTTTCAGACTAACAGATAAAAGCTGATCTCACTACTGTAATAGTTTCGCAGTTGAAGATATACTGTTCATTGGAATTGGTGTAGGATGAACAATTGCTAGGTGGTAAATGTCAGGTCTGATAGTGTGCCTCTTCTGAAATCCTAAGCTGTCTCATCCAGGATGTCAGTGCTACATCTTCCCTTAGAATTCCTCTGCCAATAAGCACACTCCCACTCCCCGATCCTCTCACCACATTGACCATGCATATAAATGAGCTATGAATATTCAAGAATGAAACTCTTGGCCACATCATTGTTGACGTGTATATGTACTGTTGATAAACACTAAACAGTAGGAGAAATTTTCCAGTGTAATTCAGAGCTTGTTAACTCTTTAAAGTACATTTGTCATTTTGCTTGTTGATTTTGCTTTGTTAGTTTTCCCTCCAATGACAGGCAAATATATAGTGGAGAAAATGAAATTACCACATAATCAAGGGGTCAGCTGGGTCACTATGAAGCCTCAAACACTGAATTGAAAAGAAAGACACAAGGAATAATTATATCTTCAGTTAAGTTCAATTTGATGGGACCTCACTTACAACCCTTAGATTAGGAGCCACCCAGCAGGGGCTTAAGTTTGATCTTAGAGATTGCCACTTAACACCTGTGAAAATAGGACTGCATCACCCAACCTCTAGCAACCCAGAATTTCACATGAATGGAACAGACAGGCAAACTCACAGTACTGCTGACAGGAGACAGGAATACACGTCCATCCTGTGGGTGGCAGTTCTCCCTGGCTAAGCAATGTGGGAGTCAGTTTTCATCACATCCTGAAGAGGTATATGGCCTGATACATACCTCTGTACAGTTATCTTCAAGTAATTAAATTGTGTACATCTCAGTTTATACATGTACATATTTACAAATTATCTATATGATCCATTAAAATTCTTCTGATTAGGCAGTGTGTAATTCTACCTGACAATCATGGAAATCAATCTGCTTTACAAGAATAAGGATGTTTGGGAATGATTCAGGTAAAAGCCATTGTCACACTGACAGAAAAGTTGTTGTATTTATGTTTTCCAGTTCTAATTCAATTTCTGTTGTGGGTTTTTTTTCATTGCTATGTAGCATCCAGAGAGTCTCAGATAACAGTGATGGAGAACAGGACACAGGTGACAGAGTTCCTCCTGCTGGGACTGACCAATGACCCACGCCTGCAGCTTCCCCTCCTCATAACCTTCCTCCTCATCTACACCATCACTGTGCTTGGGAACCTGGGGATGATCCTGCTGATCCTGCTGGACGCTCGTCTGCACACCCCCATGTACTTCTTCCTTGGTAACCTGTCTCTGGTGGATTTCTGTTCCTCCACGGTTGTCACTCCGACAGTCATGGCTGGGCTCTTCACGGGAAACAAGGTCATTTCCTACAACGCCTGTGCTGCTCAGATGTTCTTCTTCACAACCCTCATCTGTGTGGAAAATTATCTCTTGGCTGCAATGGCCTACGACCGCTATGCCGCAGTGTGCAGACCCCTGCACTACACCACCACCATGAGGACCAGTGTGTGTGCGGGTCTCGTCCTAGGCTGCTATGTCAGTGGCTTCCTGAATGCCTGCATCCACACTGGGGAAACCTTCTGTCTCTTCTTTTGTAACTACAATAGGATCCATCACTTTTTCTGTGATATTCCAACGGTCATGACTCTGTCCTGCTCTGACAAACAGGCCAATGAGCTTATGGTTGTTTAAGTTGTGAGCTTCCATATCATTTTTGCCTTCATTATTATCTGGATATCCTACATCTTCATTTTTATCACCATCTTAAGGAAACACTCAGGTACAGGTGCTCAAAAGACTCTATCGACCTGTACTTCTCATTTCACCACGGTCTGTGTCTTCTGGGGGACCGCCATCTTCACGTACCTGCAGCCCAGCTCCAGTCACTCCATGGACACAGACAAAATTGTCTCTGTGTTCTACACCATGGTCATCCCCATGCTGAACCGCGTGGTCTACAGTCTGAGGAACAAGGAGGTCAAGAGCGCATTTTTAAAGGTCAGTCATGCATTCATTTTTTTGAACCACAATAATTCTTAGGAGTTTGATTTAGACCTTGTGACTTACACAGTTCCTGGATTCACTCTTCTCAGATAGTCTTCAGATACTTTAAAACCCTTTCAGACCTAAATTAAAAATAGATGCTTGTAGTGATACTCTCACCTTTGCAAAGTTCTTTGACATAAAGAAAGAAAAAAACAGTAATGTGTATGGAAATAGATATCTGTGACAATGCCTAAGGTATTTTGGGTTCTGCTTGTCAAAACCATCCTTATGGGTACTGATGTTGCAGATATTACACAGGGTTTTTTCCCTACCACATGTCAAACCAAATATACGTACAACAGATTCGAAAAAGCCCTTGAATAGTAAAAATTCACACAGGTGTGCCATGCTGTCAAATACTTGGATGAGGTCAGGTTCTTCTGGACTTCAATGTAGTGTATCTATTGAGAAGGGGATATTTTGGTGTTCCTTTGGCTGGATTAATCATACCCAGGTAGCCAGTAAAAGACCTGTGTGTCATTCTGAGCTCTGCCTGAGAGTCTGGAATGAAGCTGTGGATTTAGAAAGGAAGATCTGTCCTCATCGTTGCAGGGGATACAAATAAAAATAGAGGACAAGCATCTCTCTGTCTCGTTCTCTGTCTCCATCTGCCTGTCTGTCTCTGTGCCTCTGTCTCTCTGTCTTTCTGTCTCCATGTCTCTGCCTCTCTCTCCTCTCTCCTCTGTCCCTGCGTATCTCCTTCTACTAGAACATCTATCTTTCTTCCCTATTAGACATCAGAGCTCCACATCTGGACCTGGTCCTAGGCCCTTGGTTTCCAACACTTCCACCAATAACACTTTCCTCCCCGTCTCAGGATTTTACGCAGAACTAATCACCTGCTGTGCTTGGTCTGCAGCTTGTGGAGCATTTATCAAGGGACCTTGTGACCCCCAAGTTGGGTGAGCTGACAGCCATAAGAAACACACTCTTGCATGTCTATATATACCTTCCTGATTTTTCACTGGGGAACACCCACCAACACACTAGCGCTTAATAATAATTCCATATTTGATT